CAGCATTATTTTTGATATAATTTGGAGATGAATATTAATCCAAGTTTCTCGATAAAAGACTTTCAATAATGGAACATCTGTCAATATGGCAGAATTTTTAATTCTTTAGTAATTCAACCATTTACTAAATACAATATACCATTATACTACCTTACAAGATCGGAATTAAAAAATTAAAAATCGGGTTTAATCTATGTGAAGTAAATGCCTTCACTGTTTATAAATTAACGAATCAAACTATTTGAACTACACTTGTTTTTTTACTTAATATTTATGCATAGATATAGTACAAATTATATACGGATAACGTATTAATTCATATGTATAACGAATTATTATTAAAATAAATTCTTTAAATGTTTTAAAAACATTTATACTCCGTTCCCTTAACCTTTTAGAGTCAGCATTGATTATACTATGACAACTGTTCAACTGCTTTTTTAACTTGAAGCTGCTGATCTCAAGCCTACAAACCATTCTTCTCTTAGACATCTAGGTCGTCTGCAACGTAATCAACAAACTTGCAACGTTATCTTTAAATATTTTTATCTTTTATTTTATCTTATCCTTACCCAAATTACTTTTCATTTCTCTTAAGAAAATGACTTAAGAAATATTTCTAAAAATCTTTCTTTTTTCAACATTTTGCTTACAGACAACTAGATCTTTTGCAATAATGGGTTCAACTTCAATAGATGAGGATTTAAAGCGTTGATAAAAACTTTTTCCTATAAGAATTTTGAATATCGTGTCTTCAGCAAACTTGCCACGTGTTAATAAATATACATTCTTATCTTATTTTTAGATATTTTTATCTTTTAACTTATCTTTATCTTATTTTTATCTTATCCTTTCTTAAATTACTCCTCTTTTCTTTCAAGAGAAGGACTTGAGAAATATTTCTGAAAACCTCACTTTTCTCAACAAGATAGCTCCTGAAACAGATAATTTTAGTATAGACTTTAATTGGCTCTATTTACTTTACTTCTTCCCTCTTAAATCCTAACTCCCTATAGAATAATTCTTATATATAAGAATAAGAATTTGTTTGAATGAGAATGCTTTTAGAATAAGTTAAAGCAGCAATTGTTTTATAATTTATAAATAACGTTTTTGGTATCTTATAATTGCATTTGTAAATTTATTATGGTTAATTTATTATGGTTATGTGTTGGTATATATAATTTGTTATTGACAAATAAGAACTTAAGACCAAAGTAAATATTTCATTTCAACTGAAATCACCTTTTTTGGCAATGTTTGTACTGAAAATAAACAAATTTTGGATAAATAATCCGTATGAATGCGTATAAATGTAAAGTTCATTGAATGTAATGTAATATTCATGCAAATTTTTATTCTTAGCCTTAAAAACTACTTGAAAATGTTTCCTTTAATTTTTTGCACTTTAGTTTATTTTAGGCATCTTTGTGTTTTTAATGAAATTTATTCTTTGTTATTATTTTTTTGCTCAGTTCATTAATAATATTTCTCAACGAACATCATCAAATGACACACCCAGCTTGTTTGTAATTAATTTTTTTATTATGTATCTCTTATCTCCAGTTATATAAATAAATTAATAATAATCTTTTGTAAATCTTTGCAGACTGTCTAAAAGGATTAACGACTTAATACCAAAATTGTGGTACTAATAAAAATATGCATAATTCTTTCTACATTTATCATTCATAAAATTATAATTTTTGTAATTTATAAATCGTTTGTTTCGTTACAAAATATAGCAGGAATAAATTAAAAATATTTTTTTAATAATATTTAATTTGGTTTAGCAATAAATTGAAATTTAATATTGTTTTACAAAATTCTTTATCTGGAAGATTTATTTTGTTGATTTTTTAACTAAGGTTTAATATATTAAATATTTTGAAGTTAAAAAAAAAATGAAATAAGCACAATTTAAAAAAAAATTAAATGTTATTTCTGAAAGAGTGATAAGGTATAACTTTAAAAAAAGTTAATCTTTTCTCAATTAAAAAATTTCTAACAATAAAAAGCAGATTAATACATTTTTAATTACAATCATAGCTAATTGCTTACATTTTAAGATATTGTTATGAGAAATATATCAATTATAATTAATACGCTTCTTATACTTGAAAAGTTTAAATGAATATTAAATTAATAATATAGTATATTGAAATTGAATATTCTTGAATTTTTGCATTAAAATAAAACAATATATAAACATTCAATTTATTTATTCTTCTTTAGTAGTGTGCAAAACTTACGTGGAATTTATAGTAATTATCAGAATTATAGATTATTTTTGTAGGTGTCCATTAATTCTAAGTCCATAACTAAATTAGTTCTCTTGAGTTTACCATATTTATTATAGCAATAAAAGTATTTTTAATGAATTATTGATAACAGAACTGGTAAATATGAGATCCCGGCATGATTAAATTTTTGTGCAGACATTACTTTTTCTATTATTAATAAACAAATATATATTTTTTGAATAAATAAGTTTTAAACGTAACGTTTTATATACTTAAATTATCTTTTTCAATAAATGTATTTTTGTTATTACTTCATTATTGTATTGAAAAAAATAATTTGGTATTTTGACTTTACAATAAATTATAAAAACATAAGTTAAACAAGTTAATTAAATAAATATCAGTAAACTGATTAATTATTTTTTTCTGTACAATATATAATAAATAAACTTCCTCTTTTGATTCAAAAATATCATATCTTTTGACAACTTCTTATCTCATATGTAATATATTCTACTATATCAGTAGAAGCTAAGAAAAAAACAGGGCTTTTTATTTATATAAAATTTTAAAATAAATTTATTTAGAAAAGTAAATAAACGAGAAAAAACATCAGTTTTATATGCACGTGCTTTGCAAATTTTTTTTGATTATTTTTGGTCAAGTTTTAACTAAGATTCTTATATTAGTAAAAAATTCTTAATCTTTTATACATATTTTGTTGAAATGTTAAATTCCATATTATAGTGTCCATTAAATATTTTGTATTTGATAAGAAATTTACTAAAGTCCAGTGGTTCTTAAGTTTATCAAATGCTGATTACCCATTCATAAATCATGAAGTAACCATGGTTTTATAAAAATATGTGGTAACTTTCAGTGAGATATGGTTTTAATTTTATTTATAAAAATACACAAATAAAATATTTTGTATAAAATGTTTATGTTTTCATCCATTTGAAAATATTTACACATGACGTATGAGTAATATATGTATGAGTAAGTCTATACTATTTGGAATATATAATTTCAAAAACAAGCTTAGTAGATAATCTCCCAATTCTTTTCTGTAAGTAGATAGTAGGCATTACTGCAGTTTAAGTCACCACATCCTGGAAAGCGTATCGAGACGATAGTGGCTATTCAAGGTAACTTGCTAAAGAAGTTGAAATTATACTTTAATCAGCCTACAAAAAACATATTGGAATACCTATAACAATGTTTTACTGCACTTAATGGCACCTACTTTTACTTAGAAGTCTATTTAATAACTTGTTTTTCTTTTTTTCACATAATATAGAAATCTAAAATCATGTCTAAAAAACCATGTCTTTAGTATAAGATGTTACCTTAACGCATGATGCAGTAGACTCTCTGTGTAACAAATATATTTTCACAGAATATACAAATTTAAAATTCCTATATAATCTACAGAGCTTTCATTATTTTATATGCATTTTGTAATTTACAATCGTTAGTTATGAAAAGTATTTTTGGTGTGATTGTTATTTAGAAGTATTTGAAGTATCAATCGTTATTTGGAAAGTTCAGTACGCAACTGAAAGTCAACTGAATTATTATTTTGATTTATAGTACATATATTATTTTGCTGAAGTTAAGATTTTGGAAAAAAATAGTTAATTAAAACATAATGTTATAATTTTTCAATATCTTCTCTTATTTGCTTTGATTCGCTAACGTATGAACAATTATAAGAAGACATTTATATATCATATCAGTTATATTTCGTGGACTATCTGTCAACCACTTCCTCAGGGATGGGTATTTCAATAACTATTTTTTAATTTTCAATAATTAAGAATAAATATATAATATAATCTATTAGTGTAAATAGAATAAATTCTAAATATCCGATAAGAAATGTTGGTATTGATTTCATATTAAAGAAAGTACTCTAACTGCATAGCTTAAGTAGTATATATAGTATGTATGGTACACTATTTTGTTCAGTGTTTTGAATTAATGTGGAATTAAACTTAACATTAAGTATATTACTTGTATCAATAATATTAAATAGTTATCGTCTTGGTATATTACTTTTTTAATTAACAAATGTTAATAAAATATTTAAATTTTTTTACATTTTTGAAACATTTTATTCATTGCATATATTGAATTGCAACAAGGATTAAATATGTTATAAAAAATCAATAAATGAACAAAAACTTAGTAAAAATAAAATAGTAAAATAAATTCTTTAAAAATGTATCTTTAATTTATATCAATTCTCTTTTTTCACCTCTTTTATTATTATTGAGTGAAACCCATCGATTATAGTTACTGTAATATATACTGTATATATATACAGCATCTTTTCACCCGCATTAAATATTCTAATATTATTGTAAAATATTAAAGCTTATATAATAGTGTTAAAAATAGATCAATACATTATGGATAGCACAAAACATTATTATTTAAAGGCCGGAAATAATTTATTTATTTAGTTATGGTTATAAAATAAATTGTTTTATTACGAGCTATTAAAAAATGTAGGAATTAAACCACATAACCCAAATAAATATATTT